GACTGGGTCTGCTAAGGGTTATCCCAGGCAGGGCACTGCTAACCGGCGCCCCAAACTACTGTAACCCCACGATTATCCGGGATTCAAACATCCGGAAAACGCCCTTATACGGCCAAAATCGTGATCGGATAAAGTTATCACAATATCCGGCCAAAATGGCCACAGGAACCGGATAAAAGCTGGTTTGGCCGGATGAATATTCGGCCATACCGTATTAATCCCGTCTGTGGCTCTAGACGCATGGTGGAGGAAGGAGTGGGGTGGGTGGGTGGTGTCGGGAGGGTGGGAGGGGTGCGTCAGAAGGGACCACCTAGGTACAGGAATTACCATTAATTTTAGAACACTTAATCATAGCCAAAAACAAATTAAATAAGTACTAGTAATTATGTAATAACAAATAAATAAGTTTCCTAAAATTAATGTGCACAGACTGAAGTTTCCCTCAAAAATATTGTGAGTTTTTTTCCTCCTGGCAGCCTATGTAACGCGCTATAGCTGCCCCACCCCAAGTGGACTCGTCCAACACTGGTCAACCCATGTGCATCCGTCCCTCGTGTTACACACAGTGCTGCGCCATTAGTGAAATATTTTTTTAAATAACTTTTTTATTTTCATAGTAACTTTGAACATTTTTGGCCAAGATTATGTCTGGTAGCAGCATCAATCGTTCTGGAGGTGTTAAGAGGAAGAAAGTTGTCCTAACAATTAAAGACAAGTTACTGTTATACACCTCAACCAGTGCGGCGTCACAGTGCTGCTCCATTAGTGAAATATTTTTTTAAATAACTTTTTTATTTTCATAGTAACTTTGAACATTTTTGGCCAAGACTATGTCTGGTAGCAGCATCAATCATTCTGGAGGTGTTAAGAGGAAGAAGGTTGTCCTAGCAATTAAAGACACGTTATGTGTTGTTCAACCAGTGAGGCGTCACAGGCAGCCATATGCCTTCAACAAGTGAGGCGCCACAGGCAAGCCAAGCGCCTTCAACAAGTGATGCGCAAGCAAGCAAGCGCCTTCAACAAGTGAGGCGTCACAAGCAAGCCAAATACCTTCAACAAGTGAGGCGTCACAGGCAAGCCAAGCGCCTTCAACAAATGAGGGCATGCAAGCGCTTCAACAAGTGAGGCACATGCAAGCGCCTTCAACAAGCGAGGCCTCACAGGCAACCCAAATGCCTTCAACCAGTGAGGCTTCAGCAGCTGGCAGTCAAAACTAACTTTGCTTAATGAACTGTACAGTAATTTTAAGTGTTAATTTTAGTGTTGTGTTAGTGTAAGTTACGTAAATTGTTAAGAATTCTTAACTTCAAGATGTGTGGCATCAATCAAGAAGACGAACACCAACAAGGTAAGTTGAGGTTTCTAGTTGAATATTTAATAATTATATGTGGCAAGGCAATTCAAATTATGTTGTTTGTAGTATAAAAGTAGTTGGAAATTGTCACTTTTGGACTCGTTGGTGAAAAAGTACCATTATCCGAAAATGTGATAATCCGGCTGGGGGTCCTTCCCATATAGTCCGGATGATCGAGTGGAGACAGTACCAAGCAAACTGCTAAAGCTGAACCCACGGGACGTGTCCACTCGTGCGGGCGTAGCACTCAGGGAAGGTGACCCTAAGCACATGCAGCCCGAGTACCTGAGAATACTACTCCCAGCTCACACGACCACCGTAAGAGCAGCACTAAAAACAAGTCACAGCACTGAGACAAGACCAGAGCTGGAGCCACACGACCGTGCACTATCCCATCAGCCGAGGAACTGAAGCGGTGATCGCCGGTGCGGGGGTCTGGGGCTCCCCCTTCCCCCTCCTGGGGAAGGGGGGAGCTGCGCAGACATTCGGCTCGGCTCGTGTGATGTCATGCTTGTTTATTCGTTTTTCTTGGGGAGTTCTGTCCACTTGTATGTCGATTTTCGTTATTAACCATAATAGGGGTTTGTTTTGTGGAGCTTACCTTTCTGGGTGCCTGTCCCGGTCAATGGCAAATATAGAATGCTCCAAATCACATGTGCATTTCTATGGGCCATTGCTCCCCGTGCCTCTGTGAGGGAGCCAGGTTCTGGCTCGTGGTCCCCGGTAGGCCTAGAATTCCACCCACATCGACTGATGCAAAATAGTTAGGGTATCCATATCAGCCACGGATAGCTCCGGGGTGCCGTAGGGGCTACCCCCAGAAAGGGGATGAAAATCTATGAGCCAGGGCCCAAGACGATTCCAAAAAATGGAGGAGCACCGCCTGTCAGCACACGAGGCGAGAAGCGAAGAACAGACACCACCTCCCTCAGAAACATCGCATACAACTTAACCAAGGCAGCCAGTTTCAGAGCTGCTGAAGCAAGCACACCAGACACTGGCCCGGAACTCAGCTCCTCCACACCCGCCATGAGCCAGTCCAAAGACAACTCCAGCAGGAAAAAGAAGCTCAAGACCGAAGACAAGTGCCCACGGGTGCACAAATCCTGGGCCACCAGGGATGCCGAAAGGCAGGGAACCTGCACGTGAAGCCTCACCTGGCTGACATCATAAGGAAGGACGGGGGCGAACAAGCATGCATTGAGGCGCTCCAGCTCACCCCCAGGAAAACCTGAACGACTGTAGGCAACTCTTGCCATTCAAGTGCGCAATCCGACAGGACAAATGCCAATCCCCCAACGAAAAAAAAGCAGTCTGCCAGCCAGGAAGACTCTGGCACCTTTTAACGCACCCAGTAAGGAAAAAGGGAGCCAAACTCAAAGAAGAAGGCTTCATTATCAAGGCGTAATCCGGGACTCGCAGGAGGTAAGCCGCAAAGGCCTCCCACACCTTCTTTGGTGGGATGCAGGAAGCCAAAACCTCCAGAAGGAGGGAACCAAAGAACCCAAGGGAACTTGGGGAGGAGTCGAACTCATAACAAAATCGTACAGGGAGGGGGATAGGAAAACCCCTCCCCCTGTAACAACAAGCCCTGCGCCGAGAGTACCAAACACCACAGCAGGGACAAGTGGGGTCCAGGCTTCCCCAAGTTAACGCCTCCCCAACCCCGGAATCCTCCAGTTCAGGACCAAGGGCCGAGCCGTCCTCCAAACCCTACGCCTTTGGAGAAAAAGCAGAGTCCACCAGGAAAAGCAGGGATGAAGGGGGCCCACTGGCGTGGCGCAAAAGCTCTGGCAGGAGGACCAGGCTCGAATGCCCCTGCCGCTGATCCAGAAGGGGCAATCCCCGAAGCCGCCCAAGTCTCGCTACCAGTATAATTCAGCGAGGCAGCTGCGGGGGCATCAGAAAGGTAACCAACCTTGCACGTTGCTGCAGCCTAAACCTTGCATGCAATGCTAAAGCTACCTGCACCCGAATATCAGTCTCAGTGGACTGGGTGAATGGAGTTCAAGCAAAGAATACCACTCGCAGTACTCCAGGTCAAAGGTGTCACTGACCCCTAACAGGCAGCAAGGTGGAGGCAGACAGTGAGTGTCACCCTGAGACAAGAGGACAGAGCAACTTTCAAACTCGCAGAAGGTGAGGTGGGACTCAGAGGTCTCCTACATTGGACCACTGAGCCCCAAAGGGGGTTTTCAGAGCCTTTAGGCTGACTGCTAAAGGAAGCCCAGGCAAGGTTTTGCCAACTGGTTATTCCAGAGCTACCAAACAAACAACTAAAAGCTGAACCCCTGCAATGTGTGCAAGCACGGGGACCTAGTGGAGGGCCACCAAAATCCTACAAGTGGTCCTACCGCCACATCAGGCAGACCACCGCCAAGCAAAACAAAACAAAAACAAAAGAAAAACCCTGCAAATCACGTCTCCAGGTGAACAGAACCGGTCGCTATGCGTATATCAGACAGCTGCACAGTACCTCGTGCCCAGCCAGCAATGAAACTACCTTCTACCCAAGGGCAAACAAGAGTAAGAACCTGAACCCAGCTGAACCCCCAAGGGCGGGCAATCACTGAGCAGCGACAGAACCACACGGAAGTAGCTGCTCCTGAACGGCTAATGGAAGATAACCCTGAGGCTGCAAAGGCAGTACAGTACTTACAGGGCACCTAGGGAAGGTAGCCCTAGGTGTCTGCAGCCCCAGTACTCTTGTGTTACTGCTAGCTCACACGCCACCAAAACTGAGCAACAACATCGCACTGCAGCACTGCGCAAAGAGTGGAGCCAGAGCGATCGACCGTCACCAACACAACAGCCTCTTGAACTGAGGAGAGTTGCCGGCGTGGAGATCTGGGACCCCCCGTCCCCCTCCCGGGGAGGGGGGGTTGCACAGACTGATACGCGGGTGTTGTGGTGACATCATGTTTGTTTCCTTGTTTTTAATTGGGGAGTTTTGTTTGCTAGTTCGGATTTCGGTTTGCAATTTTTGATCAGCAGTAGTTTGTTTTGAGATTCCTATCTTTCTGGGTGCCTGACCTGGTAGATGGCAGACAAAGACTGCTTCCAATTACACGGGGGTTTCTTTAGGCCATTGCTCCTCGTGCCTCACTTCAGGGGGTCAGGTTCTGGCTCTGGTCCCCGGTAGGCTTAGAACTCCTTCGATTGACTGTTGCCATGATCTAATATATACACATCAGCCCGGTATAACTCCGGGGAGCCGAAGGGGCTCTCCATAGAAAATATTTATTTATTGAAGTTGTTTTATTCTAGAGCATTTGCATGGTATATACAAAAATAAGTTGTCAATATGCATTTGGGACCACCCCCCTGTAGATACAATATAAACACCTGTAAAGTACTCTGTTGACAGTGTAGGTGCTGACATATAGAGGTGATCAGGGGTAGTGATCAGTCAACTTGCAGTAGGCAGTGATCCTTGCTGGTGTATTTGAGACTTAGTATCACTTGAAAAAAGGTTTTGAGTGTAAATGAATATACTTTCCAAAGATCATTCCCCCATTAGTGACCTGGTCACGAAGAGATTGTCGACCTGACCTGGCTGCTTCTTGTCACGTTGTTGTGAGAGCAAGATTTCCCCTAAAGGAGCAATGAAATAGTATAGCTCAGAAATAAACTCTACTGTACTTACCTTTAACATAGCTCATAATTGAAGGATTGGATGAAGTGTGAACAGTGAATGAACTGATGCTTTCTCTTGCTCGACTAGAAACTGAGCCAATATCAAACATTTCATCATCCGAATCAATTGGGACACATTCATCCACTCTGTCTTCATTTGAGAGGTCAAGCTTTGGAGTACTATATGCTGTAACATAAAAAATAATATTTAAACCAATAGATAATTAGATAACTTTTGAATATTAGTTAACTAAAATAAAATTTGCAATAAAAGTTGAGAATGTAAATAGAAGAAGATAAACAGCATGTACAATAAATGAATGTGGAATGACACAACAACTGATAGTCATGTCTATGTGACAGACATGACATTCAAGGGGAGGAAAACCCCTCCCCTTGAATGTCATGTACCCAGGCAGCAATGTCCCTACAATAGCTATATTAAGGTACTGTAGTCAAAGATTAGAGCAGGAAATAACCAACCAACCAACTGACAACCAACAAACCTGTGACAGAAATACCAAGGCAGCTATGTATCTGTAATAAAACCAGCATTGAATGTAATGAAATGCCAGTTTCTGGGTGAGAGCAGGAAGCTCCCTGAAGCTAGCTTACTGATTAAGTGCCATACTACTTAAGAGTCATCAATCGCAGAGTTCTTGTATGCCTGCTGCAGGCCACAATCAGAATCTGACCCAGCCACAGAGGCACAAGGAGCAATGGCTCATGAACACTTTATATTTAAAGTTTATCATCTTGCCATCTCAGACAAACCCCCGAGAACTCAGAAGAGCTACCCGAAGCGACCAGCCCCAAAGAGGCATGGCCCGAAGAGAGCCCCAGCCCCAAGTCGAGACAATGAGCCATGGGGAAATAGCCAGAATGGAGCAGGATCACCAAGTCTCCATGAATTTGAACCATCCATAATGCCTGCCACACTGCTGCAAAGTCCCGCACCATCCTATGGGCCCAACTCATGGACGGCCACCAACGTTCCTTGCCAGACTGGTGAGCGCTGGACACAAAGCCCCAGCTGAAGCATCCATGAAAACATCAAGCGAGGGAGGAGGAAGGTGCCATGGCACCGAACCCCAAAAAACCCGAAGAAGAAGCCAGTGACGCTGCAACTGGCACAAGGACATCGAGGGACAAACTCACTGATTGCAAGAGGGAAGAAAGAGGCTGCCCTGAAGATACTGGAACAACCTCCTGAGCCAAACCCTACCCCAGAGTGTTAACCAGAAGGGCAAAGTTCACACTCCCATACAGCTACTCCAGCAACTACTGCATATCCCGGGTACCCCTCAGCAGCAGCAGGAACAAGGCCGTGGGAGGGAGAGAAAGCAACGCAGTCCGAGAATCCCAAACAAGACCCAGCCAGGTTCAAACCTGGGACAGAACCAACTGGGACTTCATACAGTTCACCAGCAAACTGTGGCCTGGGCAACTGGTGACTGCCGGGCATGAGCATCAGTCAAGAGCTGACTGACGCCGGCCCAGATTGTGAGATTTTTTCTTTGATTTTTACTTGATCAAAAGAATATTTCCTATTGATGGAAAGGGAGCCGGTCGGCTGAGCGGACAGCACGCTGGACTTATGATCCTGTGGTCCCGGGTTCGATCCCGGGCACCGGAGAGAAACAATGGGCAGAGTTTCTTTCACCCTATGCCCCTGTTACCTAGCAGTAAAATAGGTACCTGGGTGTTAGTCAGCTGTCACGGGCTGCTTCCTGAGGGTGGAGGCCTGGTCGGGGACCGGGCCGCGGGGACACTAAAGTCCCGAAATCATCTCAAGATAACCTCAAGATGTTAGGTTAATGTAACTACCTCACATGGGAGGCAGACCTCAAACAGAAAGAACTGCTTACTAGAAAATATTTAACTTCAAGCCTGAGACTATAGGAAAAAGTGGGAGCAAACCGCCAGGCTTCCACCACACGTGTGAAAACCTGATCACTTGGGTCGTTGGCTCTTTCTAGTAATGAACTAATAAAGGGTAACTGACGGGAACTCACTTCAAATTTTTTGAAGTGTGGTGCTATGAATCGGACTCGAGCTCTTAGGAACAAACTCAATTTACACATAAGCATGCAAGGCGTTGCAGAATATGATAAGTGGGACAATAATATTGCGGGTTTGAACATAAATGACCATTTCTAGAACAATAACAATTTATTCAACAAAAATCTAGCACTACTACAACACGGAGTTTATGTTACTTTACTGTCTCCCAATGGCACATTTAGCAACAGCTATTCAACAGCCTGGTGGACTCACGGAATCCTTCCCATCGTCACTGACTGAACAATGACACTACCTGAACAGAGTGGTGCCCACTGGTGACACAAGCTTGCAATCAATATAGTGTATGTCACGGTCCTCACGGTGAGCAATACTATAATCACAAATCTTGAATGGCTCTTGCCGCCCTTCCCACCGAGGTACCAAGTAACTAAACGGGTGATCTAACACTGATGACCCCCCTATAAAAATCTTACGTTAACACTTGTCTCTCCAGACGACAACAATACTAAAAGTTACACTAATTGAATTTAAACAATGACGTTAATTGACCGTCCACAGCGGTCAGCAACAATTTAATTTACGTTAACACAATCTTATCTCAACGACACTCAAATGACAACAATAATTCGAAAGCCCTTTAATTACATCACACTTTAGACGTCAAGCATTCAGTGAGTAATTCCCAATTAATTACTGTTGCATCAACAGCCTATTAATTCAGACGAGTTATGATAGACACTGCTGTCATCCAATTGACAAGTGTCTTTCTGGTCTTACGACAAAATTGCCTTAACAAGGGTTCTATTACTCTACTACACAAGGCTACACTACACCTTGTATAAACAACATCAACACGGTGTGAATTCACCAATGGCGGGTGCTAATTCCCCTTAATCCGCTACTCGAGTGCTTAACACTTTCGCGTTCCACAGACTTAATAAGTCGTCACTCTTTTTTCTACTGAATGTGTTCCAGTGACGCATTTTTGCGTCACTCGATATAAAAATTTGTAAAAAAAAAAGTTTCTATGCGATCTTCAATTTTTTTTTTTTGAAATGAGCGCCATTGTTTTCCCACAATCCTCCGTAGGCCGCATGGGATTCTGGGTCACGCCATGCGGTCGGCCTAGTCCTTTGTCAAACGTCTCTCGTGACCGGACTACCGCGCTCCCGCGTCCAGAACCTGTGCCACTCTCTGCCCTGTGTAGCAGTGTTTATTCGTTCCTGTCTCCTTACAACGCATTATTACTTGCAAACATGGATCGTGGTAAAGGACAGAGCACCTCTACCCCCAAGAAGGATAGTGAATGACCAAGGGAGATAAGTTGAGTGAGCTGTACAAAATGTTCAGCAATGTGAAGCTTACCCCTAGTAAAATTCCTGATTTGTTGGATCGTTTGTCAGATGTGGAGGCAGATGCTGAAGGGGAAGAGCGTCAGAGTGATTTCAGTAGTGATAATGAGGGGACAGCGTCGTCTGATGAGTTTGATTCATCATCGAGTGAGGAGAGTAGCGAGGGGATTGAGGATGAGTCAGCGGATGTGGGCCGCCCCAAGGCACCTGTAAGGAGGCGTGCAGGACGTCTTCAACAGCCTAATCCCGATGCTGCCTGGTCAACTGACAATACACCACCTATTGTAGGCAGTTTCAGTGCCACACCAGGCATAACTGTCCCAGTGCCAATTACCCCCTGCAATTTGTTCAATTATTTCTGACCCGTGCCCTAATTGAGTTCATCACAGTGGAAACTAACAGGTATGCCAGGCAGTTTATTCAGAATGCTTCCAGGCGCACTATGAGGTTGTGGAAGGAGGTATCTGCGAAGGAAATGGCAAGGTATTTGGCTTTATCAATCTTGATGGGTATTGCACGACTCCCAACAATGCACATTTTGAGGTTATTACTTCTTCATACTTTGCTGTGGGTAGCTCTATATATATTCCAGTTCTTAGTGCTCAGATTGGTATGTCTACATAGTGCATCTTCTTGCGAGTATTTTGACACCAAAATGAACAATGTACAGTGGTACCTCGGAATGCGATTGTCCCTGTATGCGAGGTTTTCGGAAGGCGAGGTGTATTTACTCCAAAAATTTGTCTCAGAAGGCGAGGGTTACTTCGGGAGGCGAGTTTGGACGCGAGTTTGTTGATACGCGTACAGCCGACCTAGCGCGTTCGTCGCCCCTCCGCCCCTCAGTTTATTATTGTCTCGCGCTCAGTGACTACCCCCACATCAATTCTTCTCGCGGATTTTCAGTGTTTTGTTGGATTTTTGGTGATTTGTCTATACAATTTGTTATTATATATCTCACCATGGGTCCCAAGAAAGCCAGTGGTAAGGATAAAGGCCAGAAAGCTCATGTGAGGATGACAATAGAGGAGAAACAAGAGATCATTCGGAAGCATGAGAACGGTACACGTGTTGTTGAACTTTGTAGGCAGTACAACAAAGCCACATCAACAATATGCACTATACTTAAGAAGAAAAATAAGATTATGGGTGCTAAAGTGGCAAAAGGAGTAAGAACATTAACGGCACAAAGACCACAAATACTTGAAGAAGTGGAAAAGTTGTTATTAATTTGGATACACGACAAGGAGTTGAGGGGTGATAGTGTTTCGGAGGCCATTATTTGTGAGAAAGCCAGGGTGTTGCACGAAGACCTTCTAAAGAATACCCCTGCAACGAGTGATGCAGATAAGAAAGAGTTTAAGGCAAGCAGGGGCTGGTTTGAAAAATTTAGAAAGAGAAGTGGTATCTATAGTGTTACAAGGCATGGGGTTATGTGATGTGATTATGGAAGGGGACTCCCCTTCCAAACAGTAACTCCTCTCCTCCTCCCCCCTCCTCACCATCTTCCATACGCCTACAGCACTCGACAGCAAGGTAAGTAATAACTGGAACACAGTTTTGTAGGTTTATTTAGATGAATTAGGTAAATTAGGTATAAAAATTTAGTTTGATGTGGGGTTTTTGGGGTAGTCAGGAACGGATTAATTCATTTCCCTTTATTTCTTATGGGGAAATTAACTTCGGAATGCGAGTTTTCGGAAGGCGAGGCGTCTCCAGGAACGGATTAAACTCTTATTCTGAGGTATGCCTGTAGCACAAAAACTTCCATTGGAACAATATTTTTGTTTGTCGGGTGTATTGGGTGTACCGGGCGTGGAAACGGGTGTTTGGGCGGGTGAGGCATCGACGTGTTTGGGGGTGTTTGGGGGTGAGGCGCGCACGTGTAACCCACTTTTATGCATATGTCTGTGTAGGCAATTTTATTGCGATCACCGTGATACCAAACAAAACCATATGCAACAAGTTTTGACTTGATAAACACAATCAGAGTAGCAACATATAGGGAGAGTTTAGCGGAGTTTAGCGTGAGCGCGAAACAAAGCACGCAGTTCTTTGGTTGCTGGTCGCCTAATGTTAGCTTTGGTGAAATGTTATACATATGTTCTTATAGTACATTTCATTAGCTACACAGTGATACCAAAAAAAACACGTACATCGAAAATGAGGGTCACAGACATGAGGAGAGTATAAACTTTTCAGTTGTGGTTGAGCGCATGTGCAGCTGGGCGCGCTCCGGCGGGTAACCCTAAGCCAACTTCCCACATTCCTGTGGGTGGGGCGACACCATTATTTATTGTGTATATTTATATGTCCGTGTAGGGAATTTTATTGCGGTCACAATGATACCAAAATAAACCACGAATAATAATTCTGGGGTTCGCAAACATAAAAACATCGTAAACATTGATGCCCGGTTTTACGCTCACAGCTAACGACCGCCACAGTTTGTTATTCGGTGTGGTTCTCATGTTGTCTTTGGTGACATTTTATATATATATTCCTCTAGAGCATTCTCTCGCGAACACAATGATACCAAATTTAAATACATGCCGCCAAAATTAAGCTCCCCACCCCGAAAAGATTATAAACATTTTAGTGCTGACGCGCAGTAGGCCGACACGAACGGCCCACTTAGGGCTTACCGTCAGCCTATTCCCAGGGAGCGCGAAAGTGTTAATCCCGTGTCCTCAGACAGATACGATCAGTCCAACGAATTATGACAGCTATAACAGCTCAATTGACAGGTAGTCAATTCCTACCTTTTATGCCTATGTAGGCATAGAAGGTAGAACAGGTATGTCCTGTGACAGGAATACTATGACAGCCTATGACAGGTAGTCAATCCCTCTACGTTAATCAATCACTTAATTAATGATGGCTCGTTAATTCATTAACACTACGTTAGTCGCCCTTCCAACAATTCCTCATCACTGCGTGAACTCACTGTGACTGTTGCAATTACACAACTTAGCAAAGAGTGCTCAACTAACTGTCGCACGGATAGGTAACTGCACCCACAAATTGACGTTACTCACAACACTGTTCAACAACACAACAATGCCCTCATTAAACAATGATGTTCCCCAGTGACGTTAATGACTTTAAATTCCCACGGAATCCTTCATAGTACACAACACATTACACCAAGGACACAAATTGTCAATACTGTAGTTCACAACACGGTACAACTTTGCTGCCCACGGCAACTTGCAAAACACTTTCTCAGTAAATTATATCAACCCTAATTATAGTCACGACCCTAACACAACACAACAGTATAACAAAGTGTTGGCCAAAATATAATATAAAATTATTAATTAACTATCGGAAATCTCCCGTTACACACTTCACTGTTGGAACGGGAACGCTCTGCAAAGAATTTACATACACAGCACAATAGAGAAATGGAAACAGATAAAATCTCTTTCCTCCACCCTTGGGGATACAGTAAAATATATGACAACTCCACACAACTGAATCCTCACTTACAGTTGGGCCCACTCCTCAACTTGATTAACGTAGAACAGGTGTAACTCACACGTCTCCAATTCCCATCACCTCACCAGGTGTTCAAAGGGACAATGGCAAACGGAACACTGAGTGCGAAGCCAGCTTCAGAGTTTAACACACCAAAACAGAAAACAGGTACTTACTCCATCTTCACCAACTGGTCACATACACCAGTGACCAGTCGACCACACAAACACACATACGAAACCTCCCACTTGCTGCTGCAGAAAGGTGGTGAAGTAGGCATCCTTCTACTCCATACACGTGGTCGTTTGGACCACGGGGAGGCTGGTGCGGTGTCCCAACACACAGACCAGGGTGGTGGTGGTAGGTACTATTGTGCAGCCTAGGGTAGGCAAGAGCGAGGCGAGACACGGAGGTGGCTGGTACAGACACAGAAGGGATGGTACCATGCAATCAGCACGGTACAGTACGTGAAAATGACAAGAGTCCCTCACTGTTCACTGGTAATTCCGCAAAATTACGAATTCAAGGTTTCCAACACAACACTGAAACCTTCACAAGTTCATCTCTCCCTGGTACCAATGTCCACTACATGGACATTGATAAGGTACACATGGTACCTTATCTCCAATGCACGATTAGGCATTTTCAACAATGCACGATTCTAGGGCACGATAGACGACGGATGTCACTACCCCACGTAGATATAACACTGCCGCCACAGTCCACTTTCTCTGGGTGGCGTCCCACAATCACGCGGGAAGGTGACGTTCCCCCTAAGTTCACACCCGTTAGCTTTATCGCCATTTTCCCTCTTCCTCAATACCAGATTCTTACTCCCACGGTCCCGGGATGATGGTTCAACAATTGAGAGTGACTTGTGTCGTTGCAGGCGGTCTTTCCGGTGCTTGGCCTTAGCACGGAAACAACACAGCCTCCTACAGCAAAGTACATGGCTAAGAATGGGGTTTGGTGCCAAGAGAGGGCCCGGCGACCAGCCGGAACCCTCAGCTCCTTCCACCAATCACAGCTAAGCATCTCAGAGGTCCAGGAGTGTCGGCCAATCCCACTCTTCAAAGACGACGCTCTTCCCTCTGGCACAAGGGAGTCACGTGAGGGGGGGGGGGTCAGCCTACAACCGTTAACCCCCCAAACCTCCTCTCTCCACTTGAACTTGTACAAAAATTTCCCAGAAATCAACTCCCTGCTATAACTTTCTTCACAGACTTGATACAGCAACCACAGTAGCCTTAATGACTAGCACTCGTCAAGAGCTCTCCGGTGGCACCCAACATGACTGGGTGAGAGTTGTATTTCGTAAGCTGGTGCTACTGTGCATATGCACCTATGCACTCCTACTGTGCACACTCTTCAGTGCACAAGGGAGCTGGAAAAATTCATCTCCTGACACAGATCACCCGGGCCGGTTCCCCCTTGTGCGGGAGCTAACAAGCAGGGTGTTGGTTGGACAAAGTTTTTGTTGACTGTTTTCTTTATGGGGGAGTTCTTTGCATATTTTGGGGATGTAGTGTCGCATTTTCAACAAGGCTGTAGTCTGTTTTGATTCGCCTACCTTTCAGGCTACTTCCCTGGTCGATGGCAAGATGATAAACTTTAAATGTAAAGTGTTCATGAGCCACTACTTCCTGTACCTCGGTGACAGGGCCAGGTTCTGGTTCTGGTCTCCAGTAGGCACACAAGAACACTGTGACTGATGACTCCAAGTAGTGTGGCACTTAATCAGTAAGCTAGCTTTAATGAGCCAATGGGGCTCCCCACAGAAAATATGAGCATTTGAAAAGTTTGGAGAAGCTTCAGCATTGTCAACATTGTTTATATGGAGATATTATAAGCTGCAACAAAGAGATAAAATTAAGGGAGAATAAATAAACTAATCAGATTTTTGTAAAGGACAATAAGATGCTTACCATTTCCCATAATATTACTATTAGATTCAAGAATCCCACTGTCCCCATCTCTGACAACAGTAGAAGAGGAATTAGATTCTGACAATTCCTGAGTAGAAGCAGTGAGGTGTTTGGGAGACTCCTGGACTAGAATAACCCGATGAGATTTTGTAGAGCAATGCACAGGTGAATCTTCTTTATCCAAGGAAGCAGGAGCCTGCAATCTCAACGGAGAACTGGCTGCAGGTGGTGTACTATCAGGAGATTCCTAAGGAAGAGTGCAGATAAATAAGAATATTTAACTACATTTAAAGAAAGTAGATAGACTTTTTCTTAATGCAGTCTAATAAGGTATTGCTGGTAGTGGTCATATATCCAAAGTATTCCTTTATACACAATTTAAAAAGTAATCTTAAATAGAAAACCCAGAAGCAATGCAAGCTGTGTATTTTAGATTCTCAGTATAGGTATATGTGTACCAAATCAGTAAAGTCTAAGAATAAATGAATAAGGCATTGAGTGTAATGAAACATCCCTCTCTGGGTGGCACTTCTGAAGCTCCCTTAGCTTAGTGTTCTGGAATTATTGAGGCCCTACACACATGACAAACTTTTGAGACAATCACTATCCATTGGGAACACATGCCACTTCACACCAACTTCCTCCCTCACTTGAAAGGCAAGCAGCCTTTAAGATGAAAGCCACAAAATATCCAAAACTTCCGGTGAGAGTGCTTGGTACTTTACTAACTACCAAATAAAACAGTAACAACATTTGTGACTCCTCACCTGTTCACCAGCAAGTGGCATGAAGAGCCTCGGGGAACTTTGAGGAAAATTGCATAATTACCCATATAAGAAAAAGAAAACTTCAAGAAAATGAACATAGAGAGCTAACTGGTAACTAAGGATGTCCCTGCAGGGCTGGGATGTCAACTTCATGGAAGAGTAATGTGGCCCATAGTCATGCAACTAAAACAAAGGCAATGCACATTCTGGTTAAAGTAAGCTGCATGGACCCAACTACAACCTAGATATCCCAGATGAGACCCAGAAACCCTGGATCCAAATATTAGGTTTGGAAGGACATATTAATTTAACACATTTGCTGCCCGATTACACATATTCCGTCACAGAACCCAAATTCGGAGAGTGAGTGATGACGCAAACGGTGTCATTAACAGTATGTATCACTCGCTTTGGACACCGATCACGTCCATTTTTTTCTCTCTCGAGTCCTAGCCGTGTACAGGACTCTCGTCCACTCCAAAAATATTTGTATATAGTTCATTTCTGTGGGGAGCCCCTACGGCTCCCTGGAGCTTATCGGGCTAATATGTGTTATATTAGACCGGGACATTAGCTAAGGAGTTCAGACCTACCAAGGACCAGCGCCAGAACCTGGCCCCTTCAGAGAGGTTTCAGGGAGCAATGGCCCTGGAAAACCCCTTTGTGATTGGGGTTTTCCTTATCTGCCATTGACCGGGGTTAGGCACCCAGAAAGGTAGGCTTAACAAAACAAACCCCACATAGTAAAAAACTAAAACATAAAACCAAACAGAGAGGTAGAAACTCCCTACAATCCCAAGGAAACAAGCAAACATCACACTCTACTGCTGCGCCGATTGTCTGCACAGCCCTCCCCGCCCCGAGAGGGGGAGGGGGAAGCCCCGGACTTCACCACGCCGGCTGCCTAGCATCAGTTCGTAAGCTAATGTCAACCGCGATAGACGCTTCTCTGGCCTCAGTTTCCTAGGTGGTGTTTGCCTTTGTGGCATTCACTGCCGTGTGTTGTGTTGTACGGTGGCCAGGTGTTCCTCATCAGCACTGGGGCTGCTTGCGCTTAGAGGCTTCCTTCCCTAAGCGCCTTGTGAGTACTGCCCCTGCGTGAGAGGGTTATCTTCCCTGGGGCGTTCAGGAACCATTCCCGTAGAGGTTCTTGCTGCTCGGCATTTGCCACACTCTTGGGGCCAGCTGGGGCTTGGGGCCCTTGTTTGGCCCTGGGAAGGGACTGGTATTGTGCTGGTTAGGGCGTCAAGGTGTTGCGCAACCTGCCACCTAAGCGGCGACTGGTTCCTGTTGCCTCTGGAGACGGTGTACTTTTGCGGGGTTTTTCTTTTGTTTTTATTTTCATTTGCCTGGTGGAGGGTCTGCCCAGTGTGGCTATAATTCCACTGGTAGTGTTTGGTGGCCTTCTGCTAGGTCCCCGTGATTGTACACATCGCAGGGGTTGTCTGTGTTGTCTTCTACCCCTTGTTAGTTTTGGGTTTTAACCGGTTAGCAACACCTTGCCCGGGCTTCCCACAGTTGTTACCCTACGGGCCCTGGAAACCCGTCGGGGCTTGGTGGACCATTGAACGTGTCTTCCGGGTTCCAACTCATCTTGTACGGTTTCGTTAGTTGCTGTGCCCTTGTCTCGGGTGACAGCCGCCACTTTTACCTTCGTCATGTTGCCTGTTGGGTCACTGACACCTTGACCCGGAGTCTTGCGAGATATATTCTCTTCTTGTTCTCCAGTACTCTCCTGATATTATTACTGTTCAGAGTACAGGCAGCATCCATGTTGCTAGCTAGGTAAGGGTAATGCAACAGGCTTAGGTTGGTTTCCCACTCGGATGCCCCGGGGCCGCCCCGTTTTGGTTAGGTGCTGTTCGCCCCTCTCCCTCCCTGTTCCCGGCTCCGGACCATCTGCGGGTTTCAGGGTTAGGCGGGGTTGGGCGGGGTTTAGTTGGGGCCGAGACTCGGGCGGTTTCAAGGGCTGCCCCGTTCAGGTTGGGGACAGAGGTTTTTGAACCTGTTCCTCCTGCCAAGGCTTCTGGAACCAGCGGTCCCAGGGACCAGACCAGCGCCCTTTCTTGCTGCCTTTCCCATCGACTCTTCATTTTCTTTAAGGGCGGAGGGCATGGAGGACGGCTCTGCCCTGGGGCCTCTGTTGCAGGTTCCCGGAGCTGTGGGGGATGCCTGCTAGTAGTTCTGGGGCTGTTTGCCCCTGCCTGGGTTTTCTGCTTCTGAGCAGAGTTTTTTTGCCCATCTAGTCTGCTTGCTTCCCACTTTTGCTGGCGTGTTTTCGTATCTTTTGCGTTGGTCACGGCCCCCTTGTTCTGGTGGCCATTTTCTTCTGCTGGATTCCCTGAATGGCCACTAGGGCGGCCACCCGCGAGCTTCGTCTCGGTGACAATATGACGTTCCTGGTGTTTCTATGCGCTTTTTTCTTGCTATTTGCGGTTTATTTACATGCGCCTGGGTGTGCGAGTGAGCGTCTTGGGTGAGTTTTTTCACTTCTTTCAGGGGTTTTATTCTCCTGTTGTCGTTTCTTTGCTTTTCTGGTGTTTGCTGCCCATCTTCTGTTCCTCTGGGAACGTTTGGGTGTTGATTTTTACACCGGGTTTTCCGTTTTTTGTTTTGGGTCTGGGCTCTAAGGTTTGGGCTCAGTGTCCCTGTCTGTTTTTGCTTGCTCCTTGTCCCTTGGTTTTCAGTCTGTTTTGGCCGTTTCCCTAGAGGTTCTGTCCGGGGGATGTGCTTTGCCTTTCTGTGATGTATCTCCGCCGGCAAATGTGATGGTTTGGGCTCCTCCGGGTTCGATTCTGGGTTCCTTTGGGTTCTTTGGTTTCGTTCCAGAGGTTTCTTCCTCTTGGGCCCCTTTGTGGGTTCAGGGGGCTTTGTTTCCTCGTGTGTGACCCGGTTCTGCCTTCTGGGGTCTTCCTGGCTTGCAAGATGATCTTTTGGGTCTTTGCAGGTATTGTGGTCGTGCCAGGGCTTTGGGTTTTATTATCGAGGTGGGCCTTTTGATGCAGTTTTGTGCTTTCTACGCCTGGCCGGCGTGGTGCTCACTGGTTGGCATTTTTTTTTTCAAGTGTATGTGTGTGTGTGTACACATATACATGTGTACACTGTGTGTGCATGTGTACTCATCTAATTGTGCTTGTGGGGGTTGAGCTCTGGCTCTTTTGTCCTGCCTCTCAACTGTCAATCAACAGGTGTACAGGTTCCTGAGCCTATTGGGCTCTATCATATCTACACTTGAAACTGTGTATGGAGTCAGCCTCCACCACATCACTTCCTAATACATTCCATTTGTTAACCACTCTGACACTAAAAAAAGTTCTTTCTAATATCTCTGTGCCTCATTTGGGCACTCAGTTTCCACCTGTGTCCCCTAGTGTGTGTGCCCCTTGTGTTAAATAGCCTGTCTTTATCTACCCTATCAATTCCCTTGAGAATCTTGAATGTGGTGATCATGTCCCCCCTAACTCTTCTGTCTTCCAGCGAAGTGAGGTTTAATTCCCGTAGCCTCTCTTCATAGCTCGTACCTCTCAGCTCGGGTACTAGTCTGGTGGCAAACCTTTGAACCTTTTCCAGTTTGGTCTTATCCTTGACTAGATATGGACTCCATGCTGGGGCTGCATACTCCAGGATTGGCCTGACATATGTGGTATACAAAGTTCTGAAGGATTCTTTACACAAGTTTCTGAATGCCGTTCTAATGTTGGCCAGCCTGGCATGATGTCAACCCCCAAGTCTTTTTCTCTCTCTGACTCTTGAAGAATTTCATCTCCCAGATGATACCTAGTATCTGGCCTCCTGCTCCCTACGCTTATCTCCATTACATTACATTTGTTTGGATTAAACTCTAACAACCATTTGTACGACCATTCCTTCAGCTTGTCTAGGTCTTCTTGAAGCCTCAAGCAGTCCTCCTCTGTCTTAATCCTTCTCATAATTTTGGCATCATCAGCAAACATTGAGAGAAATGAATCTATACCCTTCGGGAGATCATTTACATATATCAGAAACAAGATAGGACCAAGTACAGAGCCCTGTGGGACTCCACTGGTGACTTCACGCCAATCTGAGGTCTCACCCCTCACCATAACTCTCTGCTTCCTATTGCTTAGGTACTCCCTTATCCGCTGAAGCACCTTACCAGCTATACCTGCCTGTCTCTCCAGCATATGTACCAGCCTCTTATGCGGTACTGTGTCAAAGGCTTTCCGACAATCCAAGAAAATGCAGTTCGCCCAGCCTTCTCTTTCTTGCTTAATCTTTGACACCTATTCATAAAATTTTATTAAGCTAGTCAGGCAAGATTTACCCTCCCTGAATCCATGTTGGAGATTTGTCACGAAGTCCCTTCTCTCCAGATGTGTAACTAGGTTTTTTCTCACAATCTTCTCCATCACCTTGCATGGTATACAAGTCACAGACACTGGCCTGTAGTTCAGTGCCTCTTGACTGTTGCCCTTTTTGTATATTGGGACCATGTCTGCAGTGTGTGTGCAAATGTGTGTATGTGCATGTGCATACCCACGTGTGTGTAATAAACCTTGCGTGTGTGTTTATATTTATATAATTTTTCTTTCGGAAGGGGCTCGTTCCCTTCGCTGTTGACAGGGCGCTGGGGGAGCAGCTTGCTCTGTTGACTCACGCTTGGTCCCACAGTTAGTTGGCGTTTTTGGTTGTCTTCCGGCCTCTGGTGGCGGCGGACGGCTTATCCCCGTATGGGGGGTTTGAGGCTGGCGGGGTGGGCTTCTTTTCCTGCGCTTCATCATGTCATCTTAGTGGGTGCGTTGGACGTAGTCGATCCGCCCCATCTTTCTGGGGTTCCCGTCTGCTCTATGCAGACACGGGCCTGGCGGATCTGCGGTTCTTCGTAACTTGTTCAGTCTGCGCCCTGGATTCTATGCCCTCATCGGAGGACTGTTGTCACCGGTCCGACTTCTGTTGGGGCTGGGTGCCTGGATGGTGGCCCTGGACCTCCAGGTCACTTCTTGGCACGTTCCTCTCCAGGTTTTCGGAACTGGCACAGTTGGTGATGGGGTTTCAGGCTTGCTGCTTTTGTTGCCTTCCTTAGTTTGTAATTGGCACTTGGTGTACTTACGCATCTTTACCAGATGTTGGTGCCCAGTCTGGGTCTGCTTGGGATTCGGTGTTTGGCCTACCTCGACGACTGGCTGGTGTGGGTTCCCAGTCGGTTTGCTTGTCTGCTCGCCAGGGGTATGGTTTTTTTCAGATCGCTGGGTCCGGTTTCCTGGTGATCTGGAGGTGTTCCATCTCTTTCTGTCCCGAATTCGAACCTGGGCCTTGTTTAGGGCTATTGGGCCACTCCTTGTCTTTCCCTCCATAAGTGTTGCTGCGACTGTGGTCCCGTTTCGGCTGTTTATGAGGGGGGTCCCGGGTTGCTCGAGCGGTTGTGTGGGAGTCTGAACTTCGATGTGCTGGTCTGCCCGCAGGGTCGGGTTTGGCTTCGGGGTCTGTTTGGTTCCTTCAGAGACTCTTCTGTCTTTCTTGCAGTCGTTGGGTTCGTCCTCCGGGGATCTTGTGTTGGTGCTGCGTCACCAGCTTCCTCTTTCGGGTTTTCGGGGTTCCGTGCCTTCGCTTGATGTGTTCACGGACGGGTCATCTCTCGGCTGGGGATTTGTGACCAGTGCTCACTAGGTCGGCCGGAGATGGTGAGGTCTGTCCGTCCGTTGGGCTCACAGCACGGTTCGGGAGTTCATGGCTGTCTTTTTTGCACTTCAGAGGGTTCGGGTCACTTGATGCTCTACCATCCAGCTCCATTTGTACTGTTCTCTGGAGGTTCTTTGCCGGAACCACAGGGTTTCTCTTAGGTGTTTGACCTTTGGAGTTGGTCCCTTCGAATGACCCATTTGCTGGTTTCTCAGGGTTTGGCTAACCGTGAGGTTCATATCACGGGTGTGTCCTATATCCTGGTGGACAGCCTGTTTTGGTTCATTCCTCTGTTCGCGGATTGCCCAGTCGTCGCCAATGAAGCACAGGGGAAGAAACCAGCCCCCAAAGGGGAGGAGTTGCCCGACACCACCAGAGGCCGGAAGATAATCAATAAACGCCCACAAACTGCGGGACAAAGTGCAAGCCAACAGAGCAAGCTGCCCCCTCCCCCCATTGCCTTGTCAACAGCAAAGGAATTGGAGCACCTTCCAAAAGAAAAATTGTTATATATAAATTAAAATAAAATAAAAATAAAGAAAAGAAAGACAAGCAGCTGACTGGCGGGCAGAGCACCACGCCAGCCAGACTAAGAAGGTACCGAGAGATCACAAAAGTCACACTTAAAGGTCCACCTCGACAACAAAAACCAAGGCCCCAGCACGACCACAACACGTGCCAAGACCCAAAAAGAGCAGTCTGCAAGCCAGGAAGACTCCGGCACCCCAGAAAGCAGAACTGGGTCACGCACGAGGTAACCAAAGGCCTCCTGAACCCTCAAAGGGGGCCCAAGAGGAAGAAACCTCCGGATCAAAACCAAAGAACCCAAAGGAACCCAGAATCGAACCTGGGGAAGCCCAAATTACCACATTTGCTGGCGGAAATGCACCAAAGGACAAAGCCCAGCACCCAAATAGAAACCCTAGTGAAACGGCCAAAACGGACCAAAAACCGAGGGACACAAGGTGTGGGAGCAAGCATAAACTGACAGGGACACTGGACCCAAACCCCAGGGCCCAGACCCAAACAGAAAACGCAAAACCGAGGTAAAAACCAACACCCAAGTGTTCCCAGAGGAACAGAAAAAGGGCAGAATGTCTTAGAAAAAGCAAAGAAACGGCAACAGGAGGATAAAACCCCTGAAGAAGGTGAAACCCCCCCCCCCCAAATGTGAGTTCACACACCCAGGCACAGGTAAACAAACGGCAGCGCTGCCCCGGCGGCCAGGCGGGGAAGCAACCTGCAGAAAGAAAATGGCCACCATAACAAAAGGAGACGCGACCGACGCAAGAGATCAGAACACACACCAGCAAATGTGGGAAGCCAGCAAACGAGAGAGATGAAAAACCCCGCCCTGAAAGCAGAAAGCCCAGGCAGGTGCAAACAGCCCCAGAACTGCTAGCGGGCATTCCCCACAGCCCAGAAAACCTGCAACATAGGCCCCGGGGCAGAGCTGTCCTCCATGCCCTCTGCCTTTACAGAAAAGGAAGAATCCAGGGGAAAGGCAGCAAAGAAAGAACCGCTGGTAAGATCAAGAAGCCTCGGCAGGAGGAGCAGGCTCGAAAGTCTCCATCCCCAACCTGAACAAGTCAGCCCCCAAAGCCGCCCGAGTCTCGGCACCAACTAAACCCCCGCCATGACCCCAAAACCAGCAGATGGTCTGCAGCCGGGAACAGGGATGGGGAAGGGGCGAACAACACCTAACCAAAACGGGGCAGCCCCGGGGCATCTGGGTGGGAAACAACCTAGCGAGTTGCAGCAACCTAAACCGAGCATGCAAAGCAGATGCCGCCTGTACTCTAACAGTAATGACATCAGAATAGTACTGGAGAACAAGCAGAGAACAAAACTTGCAAGACTCCAGGTCAAGGTGTCAGTGACCCAACAAGCAGCACGACAGCAAGAGGTGACTGTCACCCTGAGACAAGGGCACCGCAACCAACGAACTCGCACAAGATGGAATGGAACCCGGAAGACACATCCACTGGTTTACCGAACCCCGACAGGTTTTTCCAGGACCAGTAGAGTAATGACTACGGGAAGCCCGGGCAAGAGGTCGCTAACCAGTTAACACCTAAATCTAAAAAGGGGTAGAGTCTAACACTGAAAACCCCTGCAACGTGTGCAACCCCAGGGGCCAAGCAGAGGACCACCAAACAACACCATTGGAACTATAGCCACACTAGGCAGACCCCCACCAGGCAATTTAAAATAAAAACAAAAGAAAAACCTCGCAAAAGTACACCGTCCCCAGAGGCAACAGAAACCGGTCACCGCTTCGGTGGCAGGTCGCGCATCACCTTGACGCCCTAACCAGCACAATACCAGTCCCTACCCAGGGCCAAACAAGGGCCCCAAGCCCCAGCTGGCCCCAAGGGCGAGGCAAATGCCGAGCAGCAAGAACCTCTACAGGAAAGTTTCCTGAACGCCCCAGGGAAGATAACCCTGTCACGCAGGGGCAGTACTCACAGGGCGCTTAGGGAAGGACGCCCCTAAGCGCATGCAGCCCTGGTACTGATGAGGAACACGCCACCGCACAAGTGAACACATGGCAGTGAACGCCATGAAAGGCAAACACCGCCTAGGAAACTGAGGCCAGAGAAGTGTCTATCCCGGTTGACATTAGCTTACGAACTGATGCTAGGCAGCCAGCATGGTGAGGTCCGGGGCTCCCCCCTCCCCCTCTCTGGGCGGGGAGGGCTGCGCAGACGATCGGCGCAGCAGTAAAGTGTGATGTTTGCTTGTTTTCTTGGGATTGTAGGGAGTTTCTACCTCTCTGTTCGGTTTTCTGTTTTAGTTTTTTACCATGTGGGGTTTGTTTTGTTAAGCCTACCTTTCTGGGTGCCTAACCACGGTCGATGGCAGATAAGGAAAACCCTGACCACAAAGGAGTTTTTCAGGGCCATTGCTCCCTGAAACCTCTCTGAAGGAGCCAGGTCCTGGCACTGGTGCCTGGTAGGTCTGAACTCCTTAGCTAATGTCCCGGTCTAATATAACATACATTAGCACGATAAGCTCCAGGGAGCTGTAGGGGCTCCCCACAGAAAGCCAGCATTGAATGTAATGAAATGTCAATTTCTGGAGGAGCCCCCCTTGCTTCCTGATGCTAAGATATTTGACAGAGTGTTATACTATTAGGGCCCAGCATCACCGAGTTCTATAGGCCTATTGGGGACCAAAACCAAAATCTGGCACCCTTACAGAGGCACAAAGAATGCAAAACCTGTGAAGGAACAGGTTTTGGTCTCTGGTGTCTGGTCAATCTGTCCTCTCAAATAATACTGTACATTGTATTTTGATGCAATAATCCCAAACCTACAAAATAAGAGTACAATGAAAAGTAACGGCTTACAAGCAAGCACACTTTTTCCTTCATGGGATGGTTAGGTTAGGTCGGTGGGTTAGGTTCGCCCATTTTAATTAATAACCTGTATTTTGACCATTGTGACAACTCAAAAAGACGGGCTGTTCTGGTAGGCTTTAAAACATGCAAAGACATGGCGTCATTTGAATTGGTTGTAACAATAGGAAGCCACCTATTGAACCTTCCCAGAAATCAAGATATGAATGTAATAAATCACCTCTTTCAAGTATGCAACACAGGACATGGCATCAATTAGCAGTGCTCTTCTATTAATTCCTTTTATGCCTATCTATTAATTTTCAATACTTATGCTAAAATTTACCAATCATGAAATCACAAGCTAATCATGTACTCTTAAAGTTATAAACTAACCTGTGGTGAGGAGGAAGAGGAAGTGGATTCTTGAAGTTCTGATCGAGAGGTAAAACCCAATTCCTTGAGTTCTTGTTCATCTGTTGAGTTGTTCACCAGCTCTCTCTCTGCTTTATGAACTTCCACCTTTCTTGACTGAGGTAAGGTACCCTGCATATATATACATGTAATTCTTATTATAAACTCTAAATATAGTTACATAATTATTAGATCAATACCACAAAATAAAAAGAAACCTTTGAGCATAATGAAATGCTTCTTTCTGGGTGATTCCTCAGTACTCCCCCTTAGCTTATAACACTGGCATCTCTGCCAATCAGAGGCAAGTGTTAGTTAACACTTTGCTTGGCCCGGCGCGCGAGCCCCAGCCTAAGGTCGGTCGGGCGTTTCCCACGAGCGCCCGCACTGAAATGCGTATACTCCTTTCAGTTTTCTCACCTCAATTTTCATGCTACGTCGTTCATTTTGGTATCAAATTGTTTGCAATAGAATTCTCTAAAGGGATATATGCATATAAGGTCAAAAGGCCCAGGGCGCTACCCTCAGCAAACCAGAAAATCTGCCAAGCGTTACCCGTGAGCGAGCACTCATCTGCACACCCACAATACCCATACTAAAATGTGTATATACTCTTTTCCGTTTTCTCACCTCAATTTTCGGCTACATCGTTCATTTTGGTATCAAATTGTTTGCAATAGAATACTCTAATGGGATATATACGTATAAGCTCAAATGGCTCAGTGCGCCTCCCACAGCATACCCAAAGTTAAGCTAAGTTTTACCCGTGAGCGTGCACCCACCACCTGCACTCAAATATTTATACTCTTTCCAGTTTTGTCAACTCAATTTTTGTGCTACATCGTTCAATTTGGTATCAAATTGTTCACAATCGAAAAGTGCACATTGTAGAACTAGTCCCATAATAATCGAACAATAAATGGAATTGTAAAAAATATTTTAATTTTGGATGGTCGCCACCGTAAGAGTAGTGCACATTCCTGGCCTTCTTGAGCTCCTGCATTTCTACTTTTGCAGCTTCCACCTCATCACTACCTACTGCATTCCCTTTCCTTACTACACTGCTTCTGGACAAGTTCTTTTTTATGTCTCTGTAGCTCCTTTGAGTACTTGGTTACCACCTGTGTCCCATTATGGGTGAACCAATCTAATTGATTCGTCCATCTTTTTCTACCCTGTCCAAGGTATTTTTCTACCTTTCCTACCAAGGAAAATGCATCAAAGAAGAGGGTTTTCTGGCTCGGAGAATGCAGAAGGTTCAGAAGTTGCAGGCTCAAAGGCCTCCGTCCCCCTGCAATGAATGGGGCAACTCCCGGGGCCACCCAAGTCTCATCCCCAACTAAACCCTGCCCCGACTCCAAAACCCTTGGACATTTGGGAGTCGGCAACAGAGGAAAAGGAGCAGGGTGAATCATGCCAACCGGAGAACTCAAGGGTGCAGACTGAACCAAGGCCAAAGCGACCAACACCCCCAAGTCCGGGTCCCTAAAACCAAAATGGGACAGCCCCGGGGCATTTGAGCAAGCGACCAACCTAGCTCGTTGCACCAACAAAAACTTAGCATGCAACGCGACAGCCGCTTGACCCCTAATATCTCCTGAAGAAGAATGGGTAAATTGGATAACTAGTGGGAAACAAGTCACGCACAAATCCGGGTCAAAGGTGTCGTCGACCCAAAGAGCAGCATGACGGAGGCAGAACAGATGATCATCACCCTGAAACAAGGGCAACGAACAACCCTCAAACTCGCAAAAGATGAGATGGGACTCTAAAGACATAGTCACAGCCACCCGAACCTCGACGGGGGCTTCCAGGGCCCGCAGGGGAAGGTGTCCCTACTGGAAGCCCAGGCACTGGTGCGCAAAGCTGGTTGAACCCCGTCTATTTACCGAGCAAACTAACCCCTGTGAAAAGAGCAACTTCAGGGGCCAAGTGAGGGATTAACATCGAACCTAGGCATACCTAATTGGAAGCCAGGCAGCCCTCCACCATGCAGGCAAGAACTTAAAGAAATGACAAGAAACCCCAAAAGTGCACCAAAACAACAGGAGGTCAAAGAAAGACACGGCTGGCGGTAGTATGTGAGCTGTTCAGCACCATGCGCCCCAACCAGCAACAAACACTCCCTACCCAGGGCCAAATGAAAGGAGCAAGACCCCTGCTAACCCCAAAGGCAAGGCCGATGCCAAGCGACAGCTTCGTCTATGAGAGTGAGAACCTGAATGCCACAGGGAAGATAACCCTGAGACTCAAGGGATGCACTGTACTGAACAACTGAATTCTAGAAACTTAACAGAGCCTGTAGAAAAATAGAATATAATAGAATATAAATGCATCAGCACAATATAATACTGCACTTGAGTTTCAAATATACTATAATTTTATATTTTATGTTTGTTATACTTTCCGCATTACCTTTAATATTGTATAATTTGCTCATTATTTATATTTTGAGGTTGTTTTGCAAGCTATGTATGTCACAAGAGAGTGCACGTGACAGACACACAGCTTCCCAACATTTAAACTTTTATTAATTTAACCTATATAGTTATATTGCTTTAACACTGGAAAATATTTAGCATCTTTTTTTTTTTTAGTTTATTCAATTGTAACACTTGAATACAGATGTATTGATATTTTAATATTAAGTCCCAATTGGAGAGTTTTCAAGCATGAATAAGGTTCACATACACATGAGTATACAATGTATTGTAATAATTAAAGCTGGAATAAACTTACATTAGGAATTCCACTTCTTCCAGGGTTATGACTAACACCAGCAGTAGCTATGTCTGAGTCATCACTATCATCTTCAACTACTGCCTCAACATTTTCTCTTGATTTAGCCTCACTTCTTAATGCTTGTTGTCTATCTCTTTCTGCTCTAAGTCTTCTTATTCTTTCCTTTCTTTCCTCCATCTCCTTTTTCAACTGCTCACGTTCCTTTTCCAGATCACTTTGAACCCGTTTGTTAATTTCTTTGTAATGGACGACAATTGTATCTATCAACCATCTGGAAAAATGAAAACAATAATACATTAGATGCAGCATTCCTAACAGTCATTTAAAAATACTGAACCGTTCCCAGAAATAAAAATTCAACACTGAATGTAATGAAACAATTCTTTTTGGTGGGTTCCTCGGTAGCTCAAAGAGCTATCCACCTGGCAGCTGACGTACTTAGGAACTGCACCAGTCTCCACTGATTCATGTGTTCCTATTGGAGACCAAGACCAGAATCTAGCCCCTCAGAAGAGGCAAAGAAGTCTTGGGATATAGGATCAGCAACACCACCAGGAGACAGCATTGGCCACCAGTGATCTCAGAATGTCATCTCACTCATTCTTGCAAATGTACATTTGGACATGCAACTAGCTGTAAACAACACAGAAGAAGGGTACGAGTTAGAGTGGAGAGAAACTCATCAGAGATATTTCCTTATATTCAATACTAAATTTCTAGGATGACCCCACTTTAGTTGCTCCTCAAGCTAACTCCCAACAGAGAAAGAAACTGATACCCAACAAAGACGCAAATTGGCCAAGGCATACAAAGGGGAGATGAGAGGAGCGAGCAGAAGCCACACACAGTGAATCAATGCCAGACCAATTACCTAAGTAATTACCTAAGTGTAGTTACAGAATGAGAGTTACGCTCGTGGTGTCCCATCTTCCCAGTACTCTTTTACATAAAACACTTTGAAACTACTGATGGTTTTGGCCTCGGCCACCTTCTCACCACTTAACTTGTTCCAACTGTCAACCACTCTGTTTGCAAAGGAAAACTTTCTAATATTTTTTTGGCACCTTTGTTACCCTACCTTGAATCTGTGTCCTCTTGCTATTGAAGTTGCAGGTTTCAGGAATTCCTCTTTGCCAATTTGGTTGATTCCTGTTATTATTTTGTAAGTAGCAATCATAGCACCTCTTTTTCTTCTATCTTCCAGTTTTGGCATATTTAATGCCTCAATCCTCTCCTCGCAAAGCTTGTTTTTCATTTCCAGGAGCCATTTTGTAGCAAGCCTTTGCATTTTTTCCAGTTTATTCATGTGCTTCTTGAGATTTGGGCACCATGCAACTGCTGCATATTCCAATTTTGGTCTCATAGAAGTCAAGAACAGTTTCTTTAATATTTCACCATCCATGTAATTAAAAGCAAGTTTGAAGTTGGAAAGCTACTCACATGCTCCTCTCACAATGTTCTTTAAGTATTTATCTGGTCACGGTTTACTATCCTAAACCACCCCAAGGTCTCGTTCTTTATTAGAGTTCTTTAATTCCTTTCCCTTTAATTTGTAAGTTGTGTGTGATCTGTTTTCTCTGATTCCACATTCCAAAACATGGCATTTATTCACATTGAATTCCATTTGCCACATGTTGCTCCAAGTGCTTATTTTGTTTAGATCGATTTGAAGGGCATGACAATTGTCAGCATCTCCTATATTCCCCAGAATCTTAGCATCATTCACAAACATGTTCATATACAGTAATTCTGTATTCTTTCCTGTAGATCGTTTATGTAGACGATGAACATTACTGGTTAAAGAATAAATCCTGTCGTACTCCGCAAATAACACTCCTCCAGTCAGATACATTGCCTCTGATTACTGCCCTCACCTGTCTGTCTGTCTGTCTCTACTGTCTGTCAGTTAAGAAAAATTTTCATTCATGTCAGAAGTCTCCCTGTCACCTCTCCAGCATGTTTCAGTTTCTAAAAGAACCTCTTGTGTGGGAATGTCAAAAGCCTTTTCTGTGGGGAGCCCCTACAACTCCCTGGAGCTATCGGCTTAATATGCGATACATTAGACCAGGGCTTTAATCAATGGAGTTCTGCCTACCGGGGACCATGAACCAGAACCTGGCCCCCTCTCAGAGAGGTGCAGGGAGCAATGACCCTGGAAAACCTCTCTGTGGTTAGGGGTTTACCTTATCTACCATCGATCGGGATTAGGCACCCTGAAAGTTAGGCATAACAAACCAGACCTCACATGGTAAGAAAAATGCAAACGAAAGCCGACACTTTCGTTTGCATATATGATGTGGAGTAATATGTGACACTCCCCGGACACATATTGGGGGAGGGGGGAGTGTCCAACGTCCTGGCGGAATGCCTGTCTTGCTTTGTTCCCCTGTACACGGAATGGATGGTCGACGCTGACTCCTTCCGTTGGCTCTGCTGGACATACGGACTCCGGGAAGTGGACCTCATCATGTCGGCGTGGTCTCGGAGTCTCCCGATATTTGGTGGCGCCCTTCCCCGTCTGCGAGGCCATAGCAGTGGACTCCTTTCTGCAGAACTGGTCGAGGTGAGGTTACCTGTACCTCTTACCCCTGGTCCAGCTGTTGCTTCGGGTTCTGGCTCAACTGGAATCCTATCACGAGCGAGTAGTCATCATGGCCCCTTGGTGGCTGGCCCAGCCTTGGTTTCAGGTGCCGCTTGCTCGATGTATGAACCCAGGGCATTTTCCGTGGCTCTGCCTCTTCCAGCAGATCGGACCGGTCCGGTACACGGCTGGTTCAGTCTTCTCCTCTGCTCTTCACGTCTGTTTTTTTTTTTTTACGTGGGTTTATCACCATTTGTTTGGTGCTCAGGTAGCTAGATTGATGGAGACCCACCTGAGAGCATCATCTTGGCGACAGTATGAAGTTTCCTGGCATTCTGTCCACCGTTTTCTCTCTTTGTAGATTGTCTTCTATTTCTGTTCGAGTTGTCTTGTCCTTTCTTTCTTGGCTTTTTCAGGACCATCATTTGCTGCCAAATACTGTCCTTGCTGCTATGGTAGTATGTCCACTCTCAGGATGAGTGGCACTTGCCAATATACTGTGCGTGTGTATAGAGTGAAATAACAGCAATGGGAGTAGGCTGGGAGCCACCATTTTGGTGAGGGAGGTGCGTCGTCTGCACGAGTTATGTTGTTTACTGGTGACCATTATGGTCTTTGGCCACCATACCATCTTATTTGTACAGGTATGGTGAATAAAACAGGTAGATACTTATATATAATGTGTGTATATAGTGTACTAACACCACAAACAGTATTGTTGGATTAGAAATATTAGTGCATCTGGCCTTGAGGACGGCCGCCACCAGCTGACTGTGTGAGTAGCTACGTCTTTGTGCCTTTACTCACCATACAAGCTTAGATGTACAGTTATGGTAAACAAAACATGTAAATACTTATATATAAAATCTGTGTATAGTGAATAAATGCAAAAACAGTACTGTGGGAGGAGAATAAGGGCAAGTGAGGTGTTGTTGAGGGAGGGAGTGGCAACGAGTGGCTGGCAGGTGTGTGGCGGTCACTCCTTGTTGCATTTTGACTCACAATACCAACTTAGTGGTTCGTTATGGTGAGCAAAAAATGCAGATACTTATATATAACCTGTGTATATTGTGTAATAACAGCAAAACTATTTGTTTATTGTTTTATGAACATAATAATTGAATCACTTATATGCACACCATAATTTTGAGTACAGCAATGGTTCACACACTTTATTATATAAATATATCAATTCACTGTATTGAATAATATTACTGCAAAAAAATTAAGAAAAAATCAATCAGAGACATTGATATAATTAGGTAATAATATATTTGTGGCAACTGCCGCCTGGCAGCTCGAGCAGAGTAGACCTCGTCTGGCGAAGGCTCTGTCAACGCCCCTTTTCTGTGGGGAGGCCCTACGGCTCCCTGGAGCTTATCGGGTTAATGTATGTTATATTAGACCGGGACATTAGCTAAGGAGTTCAGACCTACCAGGGACTAGCGCAAGAACCTGGCCCCTTCAGAGAGGTTTCAGGGCGCAATGGCACTGGAAAACCCTCTTGTGGTTGGGGTTTTCCTTATCTGCCATTGACCGAGGTCAGGCACCCAGAGAGGTAGGCATGACAAAACAAACCCCTCATGGTATAGAACTAAAACAAAAAAATGAAGAGAGAGGTAGAAACTCCCTACAATCCCAAGGAAACAAGCAAACATCACACTTTACTGCCGCGCCGATCGTCCGCGCAGCCCTCCCCGCCCCGAGAGGGGGATGGGGGAGCCCCGGACCTACGGCACTGGCTGCCAAGCTTCAGTTTGTAAGATAATGTCAACCGGGATAAACGCTTCTCTGGCCTCAGTTTCCTAGGCGGTGTTTGCCTTGTGTGGCGCTCACTGCCGTGTGTTGTGTTGTGCAGTGGCCAGGAGTACCTCATCAGTGCTGGGGCTGCATGCGCTTAGTGGCTGACTTCCTTAAGTGCCCTGTGAGTACTGCCCTTGCGTAAGAGGGTTATCTTCCCTGGGGCATTCAAGAACCATTCCAGTAGAGGTTCTTGCTGCTCAGCATTTGCCTCACCCTTGGGGCCAGCTGGGGCTTGGGGCCCTTGTTTGGCCCTGGGTAGGGACTGGTATTGTGCTGGTTAGGGCGTCAAGGTGTTGCACAGCCTGCCACCTAAGCAGCGACCAGTTCCTGTTGCCTCTGGAGACGGTGTACTTTTGCGGGGTTTTTCTTTTGTTTTTATTTTAAATTGCCTGGTGGGTGTCTGCCCAGTGTGGCTATAGTTCCACTGGTAGTGTTTGGCGGCCCTCTGCTAGGCCCCCGTGATGGTACACATCTCAGGGGTTTTCAGTGCTATCCCCAACCGGTTTAGCAACACCTTGCCTGGGCTTCCCGTAGCAGTCAGCCTATGGGCCCTGGAAACCCCTGTCTGGGCTCGGGGGACCATTGAATGTGTCTTCCGGGTTCCAACCCGTCTTGTACGGGATCGTTGGTTGCTGTGCCCTTGTCTCCGGGTGACAGTCGCCACTTTTACCTCCGTCATGCTGCCTGTTGGGTCACTGACACCTTGACCCAGAGTCTTACGAGAGAGATTCTCTGCTTGTTCTCCAGTACTCTCCTGATGTTATTACTGTTCAGAGTACAGGCAGCATCCATGTTGCAAGCTAAATTAGGTTGCTGCAACATGTTAGATTGGTTTCCCACTCGGATGCCCCGAGGCCGCCCCTTTTGGTTAGGTGCTGTTCGCCCCT